ACGTGTGTAATAATTTATATTATCTAAAAGTCTAATTAATAAAAATTAAGACGTGGTGTATAATATTTTTATGTTAATAGAACTTTTTTGTGCCTTTTATCCCACGAGTTGGCAAGTATTATGGTAATTGCAAACGGGGAGGAAAGAAAACACAATGCGACACAAGAGGAGTTTTTAATTCGCCTTTTAAAAGTTGTCCCGTTAATTTTTTTGCAATATTCGCGACCTTGACTACTTTTCTGTTAGTTGCAACAAGTTTTTTTAGCACCGTTACGTGTATGAGTTAGGATTTTCATTCTACTTTTAGCTTAACGGTAAGGTAGACCGACTTTCTTTTTGCTTAATTAACAGGATGTTTTCGTTTAAAAGTAAATTTGTTTTCATATACATCGGAGGCGAAAATTAAAATCTAATTTTGTCGTGATTCTTTCTAAATTTAATCAAATGAAAAACGGCCCTGCTAATAATCGTTTTATTTCAGTATTTAAAACGTATTCGTGTAATCCGCCGTTTCCTTTTATAAGGGTACCTAATTGACTATTAGTAAATCCTAAAATACGTTTTACAAATGATTTGGATTACAAGTTTACGTTCTCTTATTTTGTAATCGATCTCATCAAGGGTGAAAGTCAAGAGAGAGAAAGTGCGATGGAACGGCCTCGGCCAGACACAAGTTTTTAATTAATCAGGATTGTGACTGATATAATCTAATCGTTATGTTTTCTAACTGTTCTTGTGTTAGTTAATGGAGCAACAGCACTTGCATTCCTCATTTACTACAAACGAAAAATATTATTTGCTAGTTAGTTAATTACATGGTATAATGCCATTATTGTGTACTTGTGTCGGATGTGTTACCGCAAGAAATAGAACCACGTAAACAATTCTATTGCAATTCACCTTAACATTTATTGCCCGTGTAATAAATAATCACCTAAAGTGAAAAGATGTGAAAGTACGAAATACCTTCCCAAAGTGTGATACATAAGAAATGGGTAGAAATAAGTCTACCACCGTCTTACAGGGACAACGAAAGGGAAATTCTTAAACAAAGTGAGAGCAAATTTAGTTCTATTAATAGCACTTAACTGCATCTAAGCGCTTCAATGGACTGCCATTGTTTAATTACCATCTATTTCGCAATAAACTTTTTCTTGTTATCCAAATACGGATCGATGTGCTAACTTTTTGTGTTGGTTTAATGTCCGTACCTAGTGTACCACTAATTGCAATGGCGTTTTTGGATTCGATATTTAAACGCATAATATCGATAAGTACGTACCGCGATGGAACTTGAAAATGGGGTCGTTGTCCATTAATTTCAATTGACGCATATCTTGTTGAAGTACAAAAGTTTTAATCTTCAGTTACGTTCAGCATACGTTGTGGAGTTGCATAAGACGTTTTTTTTTTAATTTTCTTGAATAACACAGAGTACGATAATTGTTTAAACACATTTGCGCTGACAAAAGCCATCAGCCAACGTGATAAAATCAGCGTATAAAAAGCGAGCCACTTCCACAAAACATTTAGGGGCGGAAAGCTCATAGGCTGGGGCGCTCTAACTCCATTAGGGGTGAGTTCAGGCATAACCCTCATGATTTATATATTTTTATATTTGTTAATTCAAAGCGTGACCGACATAACAAATCCCCGTTGCGAAATTTTCTTCTCAAATTAATCTACTATACATAAATTAACAAATTGCACTCGGAAAATTTAATAATCAATGTATGTATTTAAGTACAAGTAAATGAAATACACTAAATCACGCGAATAAGGAAGGAAATATGCTTTGCGGAACTTGTGATGATGGCAAGAGCAATAAGAACAAAGAATTTTAATTACATAAGACGCTTCTCGTTATTCTACACCGGTTTATACTTCTGCACGAAGTTAAGGGGGTGAATTCAAGGATTAATTTCACTTTTAAGTTGGAATCACAATCTACATAAATATGTTTGAATTTATAACGCTCTTTGTGAATCCAAAAACGCTCCTAGATTTTCCCTAAATACATAATTTAAATATCAGCTTTGAAGTTCATTAATTGAGGAAAATGTAAATTAAATTTGGGTTTTAGCGTAAAATGAAAAAAAATCCTTGAAATGAATCATCCGTACAATTTATAAAATAATTCGCGTCTTTTCAAACGTATTAGGTACCTAATTAAAACCGAGAATTTTCTCCATACACCTTTTTTACGTATTAAATGTTTGTCGGAAACCTTGATACCTTAAATATTTACTATTGGTGTATTGGCATTTGTCCAGATTTCACTAATATACTAATCCTGTCACTATTCGCCGATTAACAAATTATTACGATAGGTAAAATCGGTTATCTATCCCACCGCGATAAGTTTTTAAGATCTTTGTGACGTTTTTCCGTAAGGCCATTTCGATTAATTTGATTGGAAAGAACAAAGAACGCGCGTTGCGGTTCTATTTGGGATCGACGTTATCGTTATCTGTGCCAACAATTCGATGACAAATTTGTTCATTCTTGTTTTCGCTTATACTTTACTATGTAGCCACACTTTCAATCTTTGAGTATTTGAGCAATTAATTTTATATGCTACAGCAGACTGATTGATTTTCGAATAGGATGTCGAATTCGACAATGCACGACTACGTGACGCTCGTCGTCCTTTTTTGTTTAACACAACAGCTGTTAATACATTTTTCTTGTTTGAATTTTATTTACTTAGTAAGGACGCAATCTGTTACAGAAAAAGGACCATAAGGATAATGCATACGGCAAACTTTGTGCTCCGATAGATTTTAATTTAACTTCCCTTCGCAATGTTTTATGAAATGATCATTGATAGTGCTGCAACGTAGAATACGATCGTAAATGAGTAAAGAGAATTTGAAGCTGTTTCCAATAATCCCATCACAATTCCAAGTAAAGCGGCCAATCACGGTCGGCTGACTACCTTAACTTAAAGAACGGGTACGGAATTCTATCGAACAACCAAATTATTGTGATGCCAACACAAAGGATTTATACGAATTTTGAACTAAACACGTATAATGAAATTCCTCTTATCATATTATATAATCCAAATTTTATTTCTGTCCCGAAATCAGTTTTAATACGTTTCGTTCTGTAGAGATGGGGAAGCTTTTATGGAAATTACCTATACAGAAAATTCCACCACACTCTGTATATTTAACCTTTGGTATTTATCTATGTGACAAGTGACCGTTTCCTTTGCGCTCCAGAATTTAACAATAACAACAGTAAAATTCACATTTGTTCATCATTATAGTAACTTTGCATTAAGACAATTTATTTTTAATCAAACATGTCAACAACGTTTATACGACTTGTTGACTGCCCTAAATTATTTGCATTGGTTATCCTAATTACCAACCAACTAGTTACCATGCAAAGCAAGATATACAAACACATTAAATCGGTTTGTTTTTAAGGGTACGTTGTGTAATTAAAGTCTAGGAGGTACGCAAATTGTTATATTTGCGTATAGTCAGTGTGACCGCCTCCTCCATGAATTTCGTAGATTTTTCATTTCCGCCGGTGCTGGAATTTGAGTTACCTGTAGGTTTACATTTTGAGGTAATTTTTTTATAATTTCGTAGATAATAGTATTTTTAATATGCCGAGCATTTAAACTTATTTTCTTATCACACATAAACAGGCGATTAAAGACCTTAAATTGTATAGATAGTGAATTATCGCGTAATGTCGATATAGGAGTGCGAAATTTAGTAGTGTATCAGTTAGTAGGGCACTTTTGCCGAAACGGGATTGTTTTTCTAGTGCTTCTGAAGTTTGTGTAATTTGAAGTTGTACTTTTTTTGTGTTCATCGGTATGTCTATTTGTGTAATCGGCCTATTGTGTTCTGGAGATCATGCAATATTACTATCTATTTCCTTTCCGCGATTTACATATTACGCATTTATATAAATATAAACTTTAAAAGGCCTAGTTATACGGTCCAATAATTGATTTATGTTATATCAAGTGTTTTTAGCTCCTGTTCATATTTTGTTACAAAACTTGGTCGCGTTTAATCAAAATTAGAATTTTACACAATGGCCTGAATACATCGTTTCAAACTTCGTTTTCTTATCTAATTCAACATTTTCTCTCGCAATGAGCATTTTCGCTTTCATCATAATTCATCAGAATTAAACACATTAGGAAACAATTGCCATTTGGACAAGTTACTTAAAAAAAATTTGGATAAACTTCATAGATTCTGTTCTTAGACAGTAGTAACTCGTAGGGAGTTTTTGGTTGTAAAACTATGACACCATTTCTAGCACCATTTGCATCGAGAGTATTTTTTAGCCGTTTAAGATACAAAGTGTAACAAGTACTGACCCTTGTCAGATATCATACCTAAAAATACTTTACTCTGACCGAAAGCGATTAATTAAATGTATTTATTTCTGAGAAACGGGATTTTCCGATAAGTAATAATTATTCACTTTCACCTTAGGACGGTACATAAAATAATAAAGATATGTAACAACTCAATTATATTTATATAAAAATAGAGTATAGAAATCCATTTATCATCAACTTTTAGAAGTAAATGGAGTTTCTGAAATGCTTTCGGGTAGCTTGGTTGAGCTATCGATTTAGGATATAATAAATAAATCACGGTTCACTTTTCAACGAAATACGTACCTCGCTACACATTTTTCCCTAGGCGTGTATCTAACTTGTATTTCTTTGACAGCTAAATTACAATCCGGTTTGAAATCAAATTGGCATTACCGCAGCTACTCAACTTGAACTATGCGCCGGCATAAGTAAACATTCTTACGAAAAAAATTCTGTAAGGGTCAATATGTTATAAACTCAACATAAAGAAGTAGGTGACGGTTTCCTGCCTCAAATTTATGTTAATAAATCTATTAGACTTTAAAATCGACTGCATGTAATGTAACTGACGCAAGTTCATGGTCAGTTCCTAAATTATTTATTATCTTCCCAGCCCTAACGCTCTTCTATTTGTTTACAGACTGAGAAGCCACAGCCCGAGTTTGGCACCATGAAATCGCCACCCACCGTCACGGACGATTGCGATGACATCTTCGGACCTCCTAGAACGTACGCTACAGGCTATTGTCCTCCGAAAAACCGACCGTCTATGATATCGGCAAAGTACCGACAGAAGGAAGAGCGCAGAAAGGTTCTAAAAATTAGTATAAACAAGTTAAAGAAGATCGAAGATCCCGAGGCGAGTTTGTGCAGATCCGTTCTAATCAACAACACGATGAAGCGCCTGCAAAAGGAGGCGAGGGACGAGAAGATACAGAAACAGCAGCTTAATTATCCCAGGTGCTACGATAATGACAATTTTTTAAATATCAAAAGTGAATTCATAAAAAACGAGCTTAAACATACAACGCATTTTGAAGAGGCACAGGAGAATTTCTGTGCGCCCGAATCGAAAATAATGGACAGTTTAGGGGCGGATTTTGTGATCGAGAACGACTTCGAAGGCAAAATCGACGAGATTAGTGCGCTGAATTCGGACAGTGCGAAAAATATGGAAGTGCTTAACGGTTTAGTTGAGGAAAATTTAAATAGTCTCGGTGTTAATGCAACAAACAACGTAACGCACGTGGACCCCACGAACGATAGTGACCGGTTTTTGTGTAGGAAGCGATCCTTTGATGACATGGAAGACTGTGACGTGCAAGACGTTCTTTCGCAATTTTATATGCCACCAACCCCTAGGATGTTAACGTGCATCGACGATGATGAAGACGTGAACGTTGTAGACGACGAACCTTTACCAAAACGTGTTAAAATCGACGAAATTGTTGTGAACCATTGTGTATCGCGGCTTACATCGGGTCACGACTCAATATCTACGTCCATAGCTCAATTCGAATCATCGAATCTCGTCCATTCCTATGGCCAAAATCAAGATTCTTCCAGGATGTGTGAAAGCATGGAAGTCAGTACTTTAACGGACAAAAAAACAGACGATTTTCGTGTAAATAATTTTATTAACAATAATATCACCGAAAGTAATTCGAGGGTTAGGTATATGAGCTCTACGCAAAATATTGAAACGGACACAAATTCTTACAGTTGCGGGCACGCATCCATGTTTAACGAACTACAAAGTAATGTGTTTCATAGTTTAATTGCGTCATTGGAAACGTAGCGTTTTATAAACGACGTATAGATCAACAGATTTTACTTTTGTGATAACTTTTGTATCAAAACGAGTTTATATATTTATTGTTACGATGTTATAAATATTCCACAATATGCCATCTTCTTTTTGACTGAAGTCGTTGTGATCAATTCCTTTTTTCCAAATTTTGTTTACGCCGCACTAGTTAACATAAAAGAACAATAATTTCCAATGGTTAAAATGTGAAACTGCCTTTACTTAAAGAAGTTTAGTAAAACCAGGCTCTCTACTAGTTCGATTCTTTTCCTAAGTATTAACTACAAATTCGAATCTATTCTGTCTAAGTAGGAGGTAGAGAGCACCACCAGGCTGTGATATGATTAAATAATTGTACATGTAATTAGGACATAAAGCGAAATACCTTTTTTCTTTATAGGTATTCATTATAAAAGCTACATAGATTGCAATAACAATAACTTTGTAAATTGTATATCTTAACTTAATGCTTTTAGACAATTTCAAGTGGATATTTCGAAACAAATCCTTAGACATGAATATCCATATTGAAAACATACAATTTTTGTAGTAGTTAAAAGTAGCTGCATTGTGAGAAATGGAACCTTGTGTCTTTGTCGCTTTAATAGTGAAAAAGTTGTCCAATAAATAAATATATGCGAGTATGGTCCTATTTTAGAAAGCGCTCTTTTTTTGAGGGTAATTCCAGAAAAACAGTCGATACAAAGCATATCAAAATTTGGATGAAAATTCATAACCAGCAGTTTTCCATGTAGGTATTCACAATAGTATTTTTGAAACTTTTTATAGCATTTTTGAATTTTTGATACCTACAGCAACAAACGAATTTCTCAAATAGAGATGCTTTGTAACGCACATCAACAACAAATATTTTATAAGACGTTAATGGTCGAAATCATTTTCTTTTTTTCTATTATTATTGTACTAATTGTTTATAGCGTTGTTAAGTATTTAAATTTTTTTGTAATACATAATAACATTTTGTTATGGAATATTGTCGTTTATGGTTTATTTTGCAATGTTGTTAATTTGGGTTTTAATATTTTTTTTATATACGGCATAGTTCCCCAAGTGCTTATATGTGTACGTAGTAGAATAATGTTGTACATATGCACCTATTTTATTATTTCATTATTTTAATTATAAACAATATTATTTAATTAAAAAAGTGTATGTATTGTTAAGTTATAACAGTGATAGTAAAACGAATGAATTGTTTTTATCAAAAAGGAAAACTCTGCGAAAATTTGATTGGGCATTAATGCATTTTTAGATTCATTCATTTTATTCGAAAATTTTATCGTTATCGCTTACTTCGTCGAAATTTTGGACCTTAATAAGTAACCATGCGAAAGTAAGTTATACCAAATCAAAGAGGTTACCAATATACAAATCTTGTATAGTTATTATCATGAATTACTGTATAAATAAAATTATACGTTCAGCATTATCAACATTTTCAGGTAATGCAATAAAGTACCTGAAAATATTATTTATTTATTTTTATTTCACCTTGTCTCAAAGTGCCACCAACAGTAAGTAATTTATTGTAAACAATTTGTATTTTCCCTCTTCACATCAGTTTTATGAATGATATTCTAATAGCTTTAATTGTTTTAATATTTTAAATTAACCGCCTTGCTAAATTTGCTATCATTTGTCAGACGCAGTTTGTTGGCAAAGAAAAACAATTTGTTTCCAATTATACTTTTAGAAGTTTAACATGTGGTACCTTGTATGAAAAAATAATCAGTTTTTCCATCTAAACATAATTAAGAAGCAAAGGTAGGTATTTCTTTTGTCAAACAATTAGTGATATTGTAATCTTATTCTTGTAAATCTCCTTTTTTGAGAAACAGCCGTTTTTTTGCGAAACTGACGTGTAGTGTCATATTGGACGTTGAAGTGAATTAATGAGTATGTTCGCACAGGTAGAAATTTCGATTTTAAATAGATTTCCTGGCTGTTTGTCAACACGTGCCGAGAACGTACAAGTAATTCATCAGATCAACTAACAAATTATTTTATTCAGTTTTCACAATTTTACGACCGCATTCTGCTGAATGAGCATTATCGGCGAAGGGGTTGGCAATATGGATAAAATCTCGGTATACTGAGAACCTACCCACACGTATATTGCAGGTAATTTTTTAACAAAGAATGAAAATAAATAAAATAAAAGTGGTTTCAGTTTCACAATTTCAGGGCGAATTATCAGACTGTTTCCTATAGATAGTAAAAAGTAAAACAAATTTAAAGATTTTAATAATGACTTATTAATCAACACATTCAATCCAATGAATGTGATAATTTAATAAAACAATTTGCATACCTACTCATTTATTTTAAACTTTTAATTCTATATTTGTATAGGTACCTAGAAGAACAAGTATGCAAATATAAATGCAAAAAAAATACAAAACCAGTGCGTAACTGTGAGTTTCTAAAAAGTGTAGCTCGCACAGAAAAATTTCCCCATTAACACTTTATGGAAATGCATGATAGGACCTTTTACTTATTTTTAATCAACCTTTCCATTGGGAAATCCCAGAAAAAACTGATTTTAGTCAACAGAATTTTAACTTCAGAGCTATCACATACGGCCCTGGGCCCATGGAAAATCGATAAATACTATTTTCAACTAATCAATGACGAAATGCAAACATTCATTCTTTTTAAAAAGGAAAATTCCATTACTTCTATCTACGTGAATTTACCTAACAAATCTTTCGTAACTTTTTAGTACTATCACAGATCTGTGGTACTATACTGCATTCATTATAAGAAGGTAGTAGATTGCCCTTTGTTTGAGGATAAAATACACAGGAAAAATATAAAACGGTATCAAATTATAATAAAGTAGATCCAGAACTGCGAACAGAAGTAAATCATCCGATTTCACGCTTAGATCTTTAACATTAACAGCTAATGACAGTTCGACAGTTTAGTTGCCAACGGAATCTACCAGCTTACAAAATTCGTCACTCGCTTAATTTTCCGGTGTAATACTGACTCGTGTATTAACCAATCACAGTGAAGGTCAAAGCTTCCCTATGTTTTCCACCGCTAAAAATCATAAAAGTTAGCCATGATGTCAATGTCAGATATAATCTCTCCAATAAATCCCAAGAAAATGGTAATTTAGATCCAAAAACACAACCTAAAGAGATTTTTCACTTACACAGAACCAACTTAACTGACACCATTGATTGGGATTGTAATGTTTATGTTTCTACAAAAATAAAACAAAATATCTATAGCTACATGTTCAACCACAAATTGGAATGAATGGACATTGCGAAAAATGGAAGCAAAGCTAGCAGACCGCGATATAAAAAGACCTCTACGACTTCTCACCTTAGATGACATTTTAGTAACCATCAATGAAAAGCGATTGAAACAATTAGTTGACAAACATCCTCCTCATCCAATCCCAGCATTTTTTCCTGAATTAAATGAAACTTACCAATTATATGAAATTAATGAAGCGGAAATCCGAAAATTAATCTCTTTTTACTCTGGCTCAGCAGGAGGAATTACGCACTTCGGCTACGAATCCTAAAAGATTTAATATTACAACAAAATGGTGGCTCAGACTTCTCAAAGCTATCCAAGACTTCATGAATTTGATAATCAGAGCTCAAATCCCATTATCCATCTTTTACGGGCGGCGCATCCTTAACGGCCCTCAAGAAAAAATGTGGAGGCATTCGCTCAATTGGAGTAGACAGCGTCTGGCGTCGTCTTTACTGCAAAATTGTGAATGATGAATCGATCTAAAGCTCAAAAACTTGTTTGCACCAAAGCAGCTTGGAGTCCAGATCAAAAATAGAGCCAGAACTTACTTACAGAAGTGAAATTAAAATGTCCATATTATCTAAATGCCATAAATCAAGCATACAGACAAGACAAGGAAGAAAAATTGCACGCGAACTCAACACGAGAAAATGTGAACTAGGTTTTCTTGGTATATCAAAAGAGATATCCGTAGAAATAATGTCGGGATCCAAATTTTGGAACCATCGAACTCGACTCTACTTGGTGCACCTTTTACTAGTGAAGCAATTGAAACAATCTTTTGGAAGAAAACAGGACTTTTTCTTATTAATTTTGGTGCGTAGAATCCAAAACAATTCGTACTTTTTCGATCAGATTTCTCAATCAAAAGTTCTAGACTAGAAACCAATTTCGAAAGAAAATTCAAAGGGCCGTATCTTTTGAACTAGTAGCCCAGTCTTGGAACTGTTTGAAATTATTGATTCTACAGGCACCGATCTATAAGAAAAATTTTTTTCCGGGTCGATCTGAGACAATATTTTTTTCTGGGCAAAAAAAAATCGACTGCACCAAAATTTCTCAACTGGCTCTTATCTTATCGCCGAGACATATCTTTATCTGTATATTGGGGGTTTTTCAATCATGAACTCGGTTAGCTTTACATGTTTTAATCTATTTCTGAGTGGTATCGATTGTAAATAAATGTCGATAAAGTTATTTGCTTGCACTGATGACGATATGTTTTATGGAAGTAATTTTTACATCCTCTTTAGTATTTGGTAGTTTTTTGGATTAACATACAAATGCCAATATCTCTCAATGAAAACACAGTAATGATACAAATACTTTTTTGGTATATTTACTAATGAGAAATCACAGAACCCTACAATACCTAGTACTGATCTGCAGATTAAGTACCTACTTATGCACCCCTTCTACTACAGGGAGTAATTTGGAAAGGCAAGACAATTATACGCCATGTCCGTATTTGTTCTCTGTACTGCAAAAAGAAGGTTATGGTAGAATGTTCGATATCCGTCAAACATATTTTGTGATACAATAAACTTGGCGAAAAAGGAGGGGTGCCAATACTTAAAAATAGGTAAAAACAAGTCGAATACATGAATGGAGAACCCCTCGCACAATGCCCACCTATAACAGTGTTACGCGCAGGTAGAAAACTTTCAATTATTCTATCGGTCGTAGACGTTTCCCACTGAGCAGCATCAGTCTAATGGGTTGGCATAATTTTTGATTTGTGATCAATTTAAATGTGGTACGCACGAGGAAGTAAAAATAAATTAGATCAAAGGAAGGCTCAACTTACCTATGTTACGAGGGTGGATACGTGCTTTTTATTTAGATAGCTTATCTAATGCTGTTGCGGGAATGAAAATGTATCATCCGAACCGTTCTTTTCCGCCGTAATCACCACTATGAATGTGTGTGCTATTGATTTTTTATGACTGTCGTCATTGACACAACGAACTGTTAATTGCAAAATAAGTACAATAATGCATCCTGAAATGTAAACGTAAATAGCATTTCCGAGAGTATTCATAAGACTAAGAAATATCAAGTAATTTATAGACATAAGGGATGTAGGACCCCTGAGTATTGCAACTGAGCTTCCCCGTTACAATCTCGTTGTTATAAAGGAAGAACACCCTCAGAATTACTTTGTCATACTCTCTTTATAATCTAAACTTGCAAATCGAGTTTGTGGATTCTTTTATTTAGTCATTGATTATATACTACGAACTATATAATCA